AATAAAGGGGATGATTATCCTAATCCTATAATGATTAGGATAACTACAACATATGGATAAATACAAGGGAGGATAATGACAAGTCTTGGCCGCCTGGTATGGATAAGGATAAGGTGCTTGTCGCCTGGTCTTGGACTGAAGCGAGACTGATGTGGTCTGGTCCATTTCCGGATATGTCCCAACCATCATTTCTCAACAATTCCTTCCTTTTTCACATTCATTGTAAAACAAAAATTGTTATAAAATAAGTGTAGTTTTCAATTTTCAACAAAAATTTTATTAATTTTATATTATAATCTATTTTTTTATTGGTTAAAATATAGTTAGATAGATACAAAATTATGGTTTTACATAAAAAAATATAAAATTAATTATTTTTTAATCCGTGTACATAAAATATTAATCTCAGACATAAGTCACGACTTACTTTTTCAAGACATTGAATTTCTTCTAATCATAGCAGTATTACAATGCTCTTCAACAAGCCATTCTTAAGTGAATTTTAGAAGCAGTAAACTTCAAATTTAACAACGGCAGTTTAACATTAAGGGAAAGAACAAGTCGGATGCAACTCAAAAATGATTAAACGAGAGGATGAAGAACTTAACTAGTAGTTGTTTGATACCTCAAGAATCTTCTCATAAGCAAAACACAAACGTTCAAAAGACTACTAAGCAAGAAAACCATTTGTGTTCAATGCCATACTCTTCACTTTTTCCTGAAAGAGCATCCCTCAGTGAGCCTAGCTTTACCACCAGTGGGCTGGCACAGAACCGTCTGACAATTTCCACACACCACAACTGTTTGAGAGTGACTGAACAGAGTGGTTCTGCAAAGTAAACACCACCAACAAAACAAGAAGGTTACTAAAATGTAATCTCTTCACCTCATTACTAATTATTACAAAACCTCTATAGACAATACCAATCTCTAGTAAATAAAACAGAATCTATAATGAGAGAAACACTGTACATTTTTTTTTTATAAAAACTACTACTCCATATTAAATATCCAAATCAATTCTCATACAGTATTACAAGAATCAGTAAAGAGTAACTTACATGTTGAAGCTGTTAAGGTAGATGGGCTTCCAACCTAAAACCAATTGGTGATAAGTGGATTGACCCATCTATCTTATATATAACTAAGAATCCCTTCCAACAACCGATGTGGGACACTTTGTGTCTAATATGCCCCCTCGAGATGATGGTTCTCTGGCATCAATCTCGGAATGTTCGGGCAAGGATCGATGGGCCGACTTTGGGCTGGATCGATAAGGATCGGGTTGGACTGCGTGGATCGTGGGCTCTGATACCATGTTAAGGTAGATGGACTTCCAACCTAAAACCAATTGGTGATAAGTGGATTGACCCATCTATATATAACTAAGAATCCCTTCCAACAACCGATATGGGACACTTTGTGTCTAATAGAAGCATCCCTGGCACTTGACGTCCTGCAACACAACACACAAACATCAAACGTTAAATCAGACTTAATCTAATTTTGTGTTACGGAGGGATTAAAAAAAAGTTACCATGAAGAAAGAGTTAGGAGACTGAACGAGACGCTTGAGCTTGTGCTTTCTCTTCTCCAGCTCAGCAGGAGGATTCAGCAGATCGATGTCGTTTTGGAGAACCTGAGAGAGCCACACAGATCCAAAAAAAGATTCAGAAAAAACTCATAGAAATTCATGAAAATAGAATGAAAAAAACAAAACCATGATTGTTTTCTGCAAGGAAGACGATTTGGTGAAATCCTAGACGGGGGATGCAACTGCCTACAAAAAGCGGCTGCACCAGGGTTTTTTTTAAAAACGGATTTTATATATTGATGACGAAACTTTGGGCCAAATTGACCAAGCCCATTTACATATCTAAGTGGATTGATCAAAAATATTAATATGATAGTACTATATATATAAATATTGAGTAAGGGTGAGACATATCAGATATCCAAAAATCGCAATATTATAATAAAAATAAAATTATACTTATAAATTTTTAGTTTTAAATTTTTATAATTATTCAAAATATTTTTATTTAAAATTTATAATATTAATTAAAATATAATATACACAGTTAGTGTTTTTATAATTTCAAGTTAAAAAATTTAGTGAATATTTTTATTTTTGTATTTATATTGTTTAAATAGAAAAGAACAAAAATTCACACTCCCGCAATCGCAAACACTAGTTGGAACCAACTTTTGAATTTAAGAGATTTAGAGCGATTTAAAACGGTTGAAAGCAGTTTTAGTGATTATTGCAAAACGCCAACAACTGCTAACAACCGCAAAAACTGAGTTTGCGGGTGATAGCAGAGAAACCAGTTATGCCCTATATATAAGAGATTTCATTAAAAACTTCAATAATTTTAGGAGTCTAAGTATGCCTAAAGAAAAATCCTTAAGAATTTAAAATTATGTTTATTTAAATTTAATATGAAATTAAACATATCTATACTATTACAAAAAAGAAAGATTTTTTTAGGCTCCTTTGTCTATACTATTACAATAAAAGATTTTTGTAGGCTCCCTTAGTTTTTAAAGCATTTACATCAATGTCATTATTAAAATTTTAAATCAATTCTAATTAATTATTGAAACTAAGCAACATAATATTCTATAACTTATATATTTTTCATTTGTTCCTGATTTATCTACTTCTCACCTTAGGTTCATATTATGAATATATAGGGTGATATATAAAGTTAATTAAATACTATATTTAATAAAACCAACGAAATATATGCATTATTAGATTTATATAGTCATGTAAGAATTAGCCACATAATATATAGTAAAACTCTATTAATTAATACTGTTGAGCCTACAATATTTTATTAATTTATAGAGTTATTAATTTATACAATATTTATTTTTTATATTTTTTTTCTATTTTCAAATATAGTTTTATAAAATAAGAAAAATATTTGATTTTTCTTTTTATAAATTAATTAAAATGTGAATGTATGTACCTTTTATTATATTATTTGATGTATATACATCTTTTTCCTAGAATTTCAATGTGGATCCAAATATATTGAATATAAGAAAATATAAAGACTTTCATCATGAATATAAAACAAATAAACAATTACTTGTTTGTAATTTTTTAATATATATATATATACATTTAGATATTAATTTATTATTTAAGTGTGACTATATATTTAAATTTTCATAAAAAATATTATCTTATTGTTTTATCGTTTTGTGTTATATACTGAACTGACTCAACTTAAAACCAGCTAAATGTATGTACCTTTTATTATATTATTTGATGTATATACATATTTTTCCTAGAATTTAAATGTGGATCCAAATATATTGAATATAAGAAAATATAAAGACTTTCATCATGACTATAAAACAAATAAACAGTTACTTGTTTGTAATTATTTAATATATATATATATATATATATACATACATTTAGATTATTAATTTATTATTTTAGTGTGACTATATATTTAAATTTTCATAAAAAAATATTATCTTATTGTTTTATCGATTTGTGTTATATATTGAACCGACTCAACTTAAAACCAGCTAAATTTATTAATTTACAGTGTTTATCAATTTATTGAGTATTAATTTATAAATTTTCTACTTTACTACCAAAATATATTTAGATTTATATTGTTACGTAAGCATTGGTCCCATAACATTAATAACATATTAATATTTAACATAAACATTAAAATTAAATAATTTGTTCCCTCCATAAATTTATATATGTTTTATATTAAAACCCTCACACAATATATTTGTAAATCTAATATTGATGTTATATTTACAATTAATAAGTAGACATTTCACAATTACAACTTTTTGGGTTAATCCACTAAATATGTAAATATTTTTAAAGAAAAATGGGTTGAACAAGTAGATTTGTCATTTCTACTATGAACAAACAAAATTTAGTTGATATTAATAAAAACATCTCTTAAATCTCTTAATATGTAATTAAATATATTAATATTAATGAAAGATCCCCTAAATCTCTTCCATAAAAGAGAATCCATCGAAAACATAAAGATTTTATGTTAATTTTTAACATATTAATATGAAATATATCAAGAAAGGTCCTATAACTAAGATGATGGTCAAAACGGCAAAATGCATCTGGAACATATAAAAGAGGGAGATGGAAACCTTGACAGAGGATCTATGGACGATGGTATTTGCAAGATTATCGATTAAGATATAATTTATTAAATATCATCCATATATATTAAAATATAAAGACTTTTATCATGAATATAAAACAAATAAAAATGGTTTGTTTGTAATTATTTATAATATATATACTTCAAGATTATTAATTTATGATTTTAATGGTACCATATATTTAGATTTTCGAAAAAATATTATCTTATTATTGAAACGAATGAACCTTCCTGGGATTGGGGACTTGTCGCACGAACCGAGAACGGCCACCTTTTGGATTACAAGGGTTTGAAACGGATGAACCTTCCTGGGATTGGGGACTTGTCGCACGAACCGAGAACGGCCACCTTTTGGATTACAAGGTTGTCATCGTTGAGAAGTACAAGTTGTATGAGATGTTAAGTTGTCTTATATATTCATCTGAGACTGGCTTGTGGAGTCTCGAAACTTTACATATTCCTCACTCTTTCCTCATGCGTTTTCCTCGATATCCGATTAGCTTGAACGGTAATCTTCACTGGTTTGGCCTGAGCACGGACCGTCAGAGAGTTCTATTATCCATGGATATTTATAGTACTACTAGCACGGGTTCTGTTCGATGCCGTGTTACGCCTTTCCCTGACTTGGAGAAAAATACCAAATTCATAAGAGTTTGCACACCTTGTCAAGGATTTCTCATGTATATGAACATCGTTTCCGTAACCAAAGTGGATGGAAGCCTAGACAATAAGTTGTGTGTATGGAGACTAAAGAGCGAGGGATGGCAACTAATGTCTGAAATTTCCGCAGATTTTATCTTCACCGATGAATTCGACTATTTACCAGTGACGATAAACCCTTTTGATGCTTAAACAGCCTACTTTTGGAGCAAGAAAGAACAACGCTTGGTATCTATCAACTTACACAACGGTGAGTTTATGATCCACAACAATCAGTTGGATGGTAGAAGCGACGGTCCCATTATGATTCCCGTTAAGGACCCGAGAGCTATGATTTCTCTCAAAAGCAGGAGCGATATGGAATACATCAACATAGCATCCCTTGACCCATTCATTCTCCCACAATGGTTACATCGGATCCCGGTGAGTATTGAACAGACAACAACAACTGATCAGCAACATGAGTCAAAGGATATTCCCTCCAAAAACATTGTGCACAGAAAAGCAGTGACTGCTATAGGTACTGATGGAGCGTCAGCAATTAAGCTGTCAAATCCATTTGCAGCCCTTGATTGCATGAGTGATTCATGATTTATAAAATGTTGCATGATTTTATGCTGAGAACGATATAAGAATGAAACGTTATAACAAATAAATTTTGTCTTCTTCATTCAAACCTATAAATGTTTCTTTCAGTGAGAAGAGTGTAGATTTGGTATTTGTTGGACCTATTTTGTTTTCTTATTTTGGGTGAGTATTGTTTGTTCCTTATGCAAGATGAATAAGTTTTGAATATGTGCTTAGTGTTAATATGTGCTTAGTGTCAAAATTTAATTTTTCAAAGAACAATATTAAGCTTTCAAAATCTAACCTAATACTACAACATATGTTATGAAACCATAAACCAAAGAATACCATGACTCACTACTTTCACTCACTATGTTGAAAACAATTCAATTTATTAATTTATATCATTTAGAATTGTTTATAGTTACATGATTTCAATTTTTCTTCTATCAAAATGCTTTTTACAAAAATTAAAAATTATTTTTTGATCAACTATACGAGAAGACTTTTAGAGAAATCTTCTAGACGACTTCCCTCTAAGTCGTCCATACTGGACCGAACTTTTAATTTAATTTTACTATTCACCAGACGACTTTTCTAATGCAAATACTAATCAGCGTCTAGACCCTAAATATAACCCTTAAACTAAATTAACTAACTAACCACTTCATAAAATCAAATTAAACTTAAAAAGTGTTTATTATACACTGAACTAAACACATATATGTAAAATTTAAAAATTTCAATTTTTTTTTTAAGATTTTCAAAATCTAACTTTAAGAATACATACAATACTACAACATATGTTACCAAACCCTAAACCAAAGAATATCATGACTCACTACTTTCACTAATCTATGTTAAAAACAATCATATTTTAGTATATCTTAACTTATATCACTTACAACTGTTTATAATTCAAAATATTTTTTTTTCAAAATTTATAAATTATATTTAAGATCAACTATACGAGACGACTTCCCTAGACGTCGTCTAGACGACTTACTGTATCACAGAAGACTCAGAAGACATTAGGGGTTATAAACATAAAAACAAGTTCTGGTTTTTTGTTTGGTCATAAAGGACTAGTTGTAATTTTACTATTACTTTTGTATTTGATTTAAGTTTGGGTGAACATTTGCATTTAAATTCAATTTTTGAGTCATATTTGGCAAATCCTCCTATAAAGAATTATAATTAAATATAATTCAAGCAAAAACATATGTATAAATGTATTGTATAAAAAATTTATGTTTTGTTAGTGTTGTTATTTATAATTAATTTTAATGTTTGATTTGAAATTTTTGAAAACATAAATAATAATTTTTTTTGTCATCACATAAATAATAATTTATTAAGCTGATTTATGAATTAATAAACATTAATTCAGAAAAATTCGTAAGAAGCCCGTATGTGAGAGCAAAACACCTAGTTGGCTAATATTCTTAAGGGGTTGTTATTGTATATTGGATTTTAAACTAACTATTAATATTGTAGAATTCATAGTTATTCAATGATTAACTTAAAATATTATAGCTCCTGTTCGAAGGGAAGAGTAAATCACCTGAAGACCTAGCATCAATGAGTCTAGGATTAGCAAGGGAATGGAATATGGCGCAAGAAGCAAAAGGAAAAAACATCAATCTAAATCTTACTCAAACATCAGAACGAATCAGGGAAGCACCCCAAGCTAATATCACTGTGTGTATGTCGGATGCGGCGTGGGAGGAGTCGAAACTAAAAGCTGGATTGGCTTGGATAATTAAGGGAGGTTCGCAGCCGGAGGAAAGGAAAGGGACAGCGGTTCAGAGCTTTGTGAATTCACCGCTAATTGCAGAAGCATTGGCGATCAGAGAAGGAATTTTCATGGCGGCTAGACAAGAGATCTCAAATCTCTGGTGCTGCTCAGACAACTTAACGCTCATTAGAGAAATCAATGGCAAAACGTAGAGAAAAGAACTACTGGGAATCATCAAAGACATCCGTAGTTTCTCTGTTAATTTTGCTTCTTTAGAGTTTTATCATGTGTTAAGAGAAAACAACGAGGAGGCTGTTGCCCTTGCAAAGGCCACCCTCAGAAACTCAATTATGTAATGTTTGGACCCATTGGGCTTGGTAGGGGTGGGCACTTTATCCGATACCCGAACTCGTACATGAACCCGATCCGAAATATCCGAACCGAAATCCGAACCGAAATAGCAAAATACCCGAACGGGTATTAAGTTAGGAGAGTTTGGATATCCGAACCCGAACGGGTAATACCCGAACCCGAACGGGTATCCGAAGATAACCGAACACATGTATATATACCTATTTATTCCTAGTTTATTTATCTCATTTTATTAAAAATATTTATATTAATGTTATATATAGTTTAATATCAGACAATATACATATAACTGTAAAAAATGATTTATTACTCATTTAAATTCATATTAAGCTTCTTATTTGATATTTTAAACAAAATTTGCATTCAAAATTCGAAAATAACAACCAAAATAATGATTTTTAATTTCAGTAATTTATTTTCAAACTTATTAATCGTCTAACTTATTAAACATTTTTAAAACAGTTAAGTTAATAGTTAAATTTAAAATACATGAAACTTAAGTAATAAAGAATTTGAAATTTTTCTTTCAAAATCTAAATATCCGAACCGACCCGAAATAACCGAACCCGAACTAAAAATATCCGAACCCGACCCGATATGTAAAAATACCCGAACGGGTTCTAAACCCCAATACCGAAATACCCGAAATACCCGATCCGAATCCGAACGGGTACCCGAACGCCCACCCCTAGGGCTTGGGCCTTTAATCAAGTATTTCTGTGACAAAAAAAAAACTTAAAATATTATACTAAAATTTAGTTTTATTGGTTCTTATCATGATTTCAAAATTTATTGTTATTCAACTAAAAATCTGAATATAATATTGAAAATATACTGTTATTCATGTTTGATAGATTCATAAATTTTATTTTTTTAGAAAAATAATTAGATCTTATCAATGTTATTGTTTTGAGAAGCTCATTCCACTTGTCATCCACATATCTAATTTTATTATTTAAGTGAAATTAATAATCTCTTATTTATTTAATCTTAATATATGAAAAGAATATTATATTTTAGCAAAAATCTTTTGAGGATCCTAGATATGAATGAGCCTTTTTAAATCTAATGATAAAGGAAACTATCTAAAATATTTTTTCTTATTAAGATATTGATAAAATTAAGATCTAATGATTTATCACCCATTTAAACAAAGAAAATTCTTATAAATGTGACGATTTACAAAATTCATAGCTACAAAGAAAAACCCTAATCGTAAAGGTGCAACTGGAACAGACAAAAGTGGAAGATGGAATCCTTGACAGAGGATCTATGGACGATGGTACTTGCGAGACTACCGATTAAGATCTCCACTGGTTTAAAAATTGTTTGCAAGCAGTGGAAATCAATCGTAGAGTCTCCGTTTTTCCGTGAAGTTTTCCAGTCCATGCACCAAAACTCGTCCTCTTCTTCATGGTCGCTCATGTCCAGATTTGACGAAGATCCAGAGATAGTAGGTCACTACCAATGCGACACATGGGGACTTGATCGATCTTTGGGATCTTTCATCAAGTCTTTCCTAGCCGACAAACAACAGAAGCACAAAGACCAACGAGTCAGTGTCGAGGCTTACTCTGATGTTGGGTTGATTTTGATCCATGTAGAATCAACCGACAGGGAGAAAGGAGTCATCTACGTGGCTAACCCCGTGTCACGGGAATGCGTAGAAATATTAATTCCTGATCCACTTCCTAAACGATTTGGAACTTATGAATATAGCTTTCTATGGCAATGGGGACTTGTCACAAGAACCGAGAACGGCGTCCTTTTGGGTTACAAAGTTATTCTCATTGATAAATTGCTTCGAGATAGGAAGTTAAGTTGTCGTATATATTCATCTGAGACAGGCTTGTGGAGTCTCGAAACTTTTCATCTTCCTTACTCTTTCAACCATCATTATTTTTCTGGATATCCGATCAGCTTGAACGGTAATCTTCACTGGCTTGGCTGGAACAACGACCGTCATGATATTGTATTATCCATGGATATGTATGCTACTTGCACGGGTTCTGATCGATGCCGTGTTACACCTTTCCCTGACCTAGAGAAAACTACCATGTTCAAAAGATTTTGCACACCCTGTCAAGGTTTTCTCATGTATATGAACATAACCAAAGTGGATGGAAGCCTTGAAGATAAGTTATGTTTATGGAAGCTACAGAGCGGGGGGTGGCAATTAATATCTGAAATCTCCCCAGATTTGACCTTGGCTGGTCTCGACTGTTCACCATCGCTGATGATAAACCCTTTAGATGCAAAAACAGCCTACTTTTGGAGCAATAAACAAGAACGGTTGCTATCTATCAACTTACACAACGGTAAGAAGTTTGTGATCCACAATCAATTCGAAGCTAGGATTTTCCTCACAAGACAGAGAGAAAGGGAATCCTTCGACGTACGAATATACTATATCCCGTTCATTCTCCCACAATGGCTGCATCGGATCCCAAATACGGTGAGTATTAAACAGCCACTAACAACAACTGCAATACTACATGGATGAGTAGTGACTGCACTAGAACGTACCTCCTTTATTTTTTTTTGAATATTTGTCTCATGAATGTAATGCGAACAAGATAAGAAGAATTTAAACGTTAGCAAAACACATTTCCTCTTCGTCATTCAGAAGAGTTTAGACTTGGTATTTGCAAGACTTGTTTGTTTCCTTATTCGGGTAGTAAAGGCATATTCCTACCCAAACAATTTCAATCGTACCAAATATAACCCGAACAAATATCCAGTGTCAAATACGACCGGAACTACGTTATAATGCAAAAATACTACCTGAATTTTTTAAAACGTGCCTAAACCTACATTGACCGTAACAGAAGTTAGTCAACCGTTAAAATGATAAAACGACATCGGGAAAAGGGCCTATTCCTACCCAAACAATTTCAATCGTGCCAAATAGAACCCAAACAAACTTCCAGTGCCAAATATGAACTGAACTACGTTATAATGCAAAAATACTACCTGAACTTTTTAAAACGTGCCTAAACCTACATTGACCGTAATAGAAGTTAGTCAACCGTTAAAATGATAAAACGACGTCGTTTCTATATATCTAGAAACGACGTGTTATATTGTTAACATATATATATATATATAGTTTATATATCTGGCCTCCAAACTATACCAAAATATATGCATCGATCAGCTCGTTCACATGGGATGATTTTCACAGCATCTCTTGCTTGACAACAAATTTCACAAAATGAACTGTACCGGCGATTTTCAGTGTTCAAGCTTTCGTCTGGGAACTGATGAAGTACAAAGGCAAAGTTGACAGCTAGAGCTTCCCCTGGTCTTGACTCCAAGGTTTTAGGTTTAAATTAAGGATACTGACACTAACACCAAGTTGAACTTCTTAGCAAGCTTAGCGTCAGAAGGCAACTATAAAAAGAAGGGTACGTTATTTTGCACAAATGTATATTATGTCTTGATTTTTGGGGTTATGTACACTTGTATACAAATTGTTTGTGATGTGACCACACAAAACGATTTAACTAGCATTTTAACATCTGTTGGATCTTCAAATGCTTAGTAGACGAAAGATTTTCTAATGTGTTGAAGATTCAAATGAGCGACTACTGAAATTGTATATACGTAGAAACACTTCAACTGAGACTACAATGTCGAATGTTCTCCACTTCCTTTCCGGATATTGAATCAGATAAAACACTTACTAGACTAGAACGTTGAAGGATATTGGATTGAATAAACTAATTGTTTTACAAATCTTGACGAGGGAGCAACCATTACGCACAACGATGCCAATTGTCTCCATCTTCCGAGAAATATACAAAAGCTTTATCAAAGTCCATGCAATTAAATCACACAAAAAAAAAACAATTTCCGGATTAACGGAGATGAAGTGATTAACCCAGGACCAAAAGAAATCTAAAAGGCACATAAATAACCCTTTTTATTCTTTTTTTTTAACTTTTAAATTGTTTGTAAATCAGGTAAATACAATTATCAATTCTAGTAACTCAAATATCCATAAAATAAATTATACATTAATATGCTTAAGTGATATTGTTAAAAATTAATACACTAATATTATGCTGATAACACTTTAGGTAAAAGGTAATATTGAAAATTAAAAAATATGGATTTGGTAATATTAAAAATCATGTATACCTATACTATTAAAGCAGGATCCTATTTTAAAAATTTAGGATTATGCCCTTGCATTTCAATATATTTACAAGTCTCTCCCATTGACATTTAATTTAAACTAAAAATAAAATATTCTCTGCAAACTATGGTAATTAAACTTTCCATATTTTGTGAATGATAATAATTTTAATTTTTATGCAGATTATACTTTCTATTTAATTTAAATATATCATTTTCCATCTGTAATATTATTTATAGATCGGATATGAATATATACATGTAAATTCACAAAAATATTATTGTCATTTTTACATAATAATGATACGCCAATTTTTCGTGTTCAATTTTTTTTTAAAAAAACTTATCTTTAAATTAAGTTTTAGATCTAAACATAAATAAAAATACAAACTTATCATAGCTTATTAGTAACCAAAAAAAAAGAAAATAATATTTTTATATCAATAATGAAGGTTCTTATTACCATTGTTTTATTTTCTTCAAATTACATAATAAAAATCTCATTAAAGTCTATTTTTTTTTAGTTTTATATATATTAAGGAGTATGAATTATTTAATAAACATTCAAAAATATTATTTATTTTTGGGTTTTCAGCGGATCATCTCATATTGGATATTATGTCAAGAGAAAATTTTTAAACTCTTACCAGATTTTCTAAGAATATAATTACAATTCTTTTTATTAAACTGAGCTGAATTATACACATATCACCGGATTTATCGGTTCAATCATAGGTCTATGTTAGATATGAAAATACCGCTTGAAAATCAAGTATTATAATAGAACAACTTTTTTGAAACACAAATTGAAAACTTTAAAATTATTTATTTTCTAATCAAAATTATAAATTCAATTCAATTTTATTAAAATAAAAATATACCTGCGCTTTAAAAGCACGGGTCAAAATTTAGTTTGCTATTAAAATTGAATATGTAAAAATGAAATTTAATATTTTGAGATCCTCTAAATATCTTTTTATTTTTGACTGAAGAGATCCTCTAAATATCTTAATAAATATTCGGGAATAACGGAGATGAACCCAGGACCAAAAGAAATCTAAAGGCACATAAAATCGTAAAGGGTGCAACTGAAACAGAAAAAAAGGAAGATGGATTCCTTCACAGAGGATCTATGGGCGATGGTACTTGCGAGATTACCAATTAAGATCTCCACTGGTTTCAAACTTGTCTGCAAGCAATGGAAATCAATTGTAGAGTCTCCCTTTTTCAAGAATCTTTTTATATCCGCCCACCAAAAGTCGCACTCTTCTACATGGTCGCTCATGTCCAGATTTTACGTAGATCCAGAGATAGTAGGTCACTACCAATGCGACACATGGGGACTTGATCGATCTTTGGGCTCTTTCATCAAGTCTTTCCTAGCCGACAAACAACAGAAGTACAAATACCAACAAGTCAGTGTCGAGGCTTACTCTGATGTTGGGTTGATTTTGATCCATGTAGCATCATCCGACAGGGTCATCTACGTGGCTAACCCTGTTTCACGGGAATGCGTAGAAATATTAATTCATGATCCTCTTCCTACAGGATTTGGAACTTATGAATATAGCTTCCTCTGGCAATGGGGACTTGTCACACGAACCGTGAACGGCGTCCTTTTGGGTTACAAAGTTATTCTTATTGATAAATTGCTTCGAGATACTAAGTTAAATTGTCTTATATATTCATCTGAGACTGGCTTGTGGAGTCTCGAAACTCTACATCTTCCTCACTCTTTGTTCATTCGTCATCCTGGGTATCCGATTAGCTTGAACGGTTCTCTTCACTGGCTTGGCATGAGCACGGAACATCATAAAGTTGTATTATCCATAGATTTTTATACTACTAGCACGGGTTCTGTTCAATGCCGTGTTACGCCTTTCCCTGACTTAGAGAAAATTACCATGTTTACAAGATTTTGCACACCCTTTCAAGGTTTTCTCATGTATATGAACATCGTTTCCGTAACCAAAGTGGATGGAAGCCTAGACAATAAGTTGTGTGTATGGAGGCTAATGAGCGAGGGATATTGGCAACTAATGTCTGAAACTTCCCCAGCTTTTACCTTGACTGATAACTTCGACTATTTACCCGTGACAGTAAACCCCTTTGATGCGAAAACAGCCTACTTGTGGAGCATGAAACAAGAACGCTTGCTATCTTTTGACGTTTACAATGGTAAGTTAGTGATCCACAATCAGTGTGAAGGTAGTGGCGATGGTCGCACTGTGATTCCAGTTAACGACCCGAGAGCTATGATTTTCTTCAAAAGGCTGCTAGAAAGGGTATCCGTCGTCGGAGAAAACTACTTTATCCCGTTCGTTCTCCCACAATGGCTGCATAGGATCCCAAAGCGGTGAGTAATATTAAATAGCCAACAACAATTGCATTCATTGTTTAGATTTGGTACTTGTAGGACTTATGTTGTTTTCTTATTTTGAGTAACTATTATTTGTTCCTTATGAATAAGTTTTAAAATATCTTATCCTACAAGTAGAAACACTTTCACTGAAAGTCCAATATACATTACATATTCGTACTTAATTGGCGTCATTTCCATGCACATGAGGCGACCAAATCTCGTTTCATCCAACCAAGATACAAGGCTCCATCTCTTTCTTCAAGCCTATACTTGTCCGAATAGTTTCTAAGAAGAATTTTTATAGTGGAATTCACAAGAGGACTCAACGGGTAAGGAGTGAAACCCGCCATACCAAACCGTGACCTCCATTTCCCTAAGAGTTCGTGCCGCTCCACCCGATCAGCTCCTTCGCATGCGATGATGTTCACAACATCTCTCGCTAGACAATGCTGCTCCACATTAATCCTTTGTTTGTGATTCCTTGGAAGTGTCACATCAATCGACTCGAACATGGCGTCATAGTAGTCCATTGTCTCCATGAACCTTGGGAAGAAAGCAGCCGTGTTCGTGTTGGATTCTTGCTCCACTAGAGTCACCACTTTGGGAGATAAGCTCTTCACCATTCTCAATAGCCGATCCCTACAAAAAAAACATATACTCAGCCAACACACAAGGATCATCATATATTATGTATTTTTCTTAATAGTTAAGGGCTAGAATTTTTTTAAAAATATATGTATTTTTTTATACAAAAGGTTAAACAAAAGTCTAAATATATTTTTTATATACAAATATTTTTGTTTTTAACATAATTTTTTAAAAAAGTATTTATAATATTCTGTTGAAAAAATTTAATAAATAAAAGTTTAAAGAGATATTAATTTTACAGTTCTAATTTTTTTTTTTTTGCTCTAGGACTCATGAAACTTTTGAGCTGGCCCGGAGTCAAGGGAAAGTAAACACACAAGCATATACTCCGTATTATGTTACTCCATCTGTTTCATTATAAGTGTCATTTTAGAGTTGTGCACACGAATTAAGAAAACAATTAATTTTACATATTTTCCATATAAAAACATAATTACATATACACCTAACCATATTTTAGCTAATAGAAAAATGAATTATATAATAAAATTAATAAATTTTGCATTTAAAACTGAAAACCACACTTATTTTGCAACAAAAAAATTTCTATACAACAACACTTAATATGAAACGAAGAGGAATATTAACAAGTTTCATAGAAAAAAAAACTGTACCGGTGATTCTCGGTGCTCACGCTTTCGTCCGGCATATGATGAAGCACAAAGGCAAAGTTAACGGCTAGAGCTTCCCCTGGTCGGACTCCAAGGTTCTTAGGTTTAACTTCCGACACTGAAACCGGCACCGAGTTGAACTCAAATGGAACATTAAACTTCTTAGCAAGCCTAGCAAGTCTATTCCCCACAATACTCAACCCACCTCCACGAGCATAAGCTGAAGTCATATCATCAATACCCGTTATCCGTATCCAAGGAGGCCCACCGGGCCTCTCCGCAAAAGCCTGGATAAGAGTAACCCATTGACTCCCTTGACCGATTTGAAAATCAATAATATGAACTCTGTTTTCATTCTTCATGGCTTCAGCAATAGCACCATTTGCTGACATGTATCCGAACTTGAAGTAAGGACAAACCTCGTAGAGGATGTGCATGTAGGAGAGAAGCTCGTTGCTTGCTGGTTCAGGGCATCTATTAAGTGATTTGTATATTGAACTACCTGATGAAGCTAGCTGAGCTACTAGGCCTTCTAGTAAGTAAGCTCCTAAACGTTGGATAGGCTCACCAGAAACAGAAACCATTAGACGTAGCTTCTCCATCATTGAATTTGCCATCATGAGATCGTTTTCAGACATGGCTTTTGCACATGAGACAAGATCGGCTCTTAGGTCACGTCTTGAGACGGCCTCTAGAGTTGATCTCCAGCTATTAGTCTCTTGACATGACGTTGATACAAATGAGTTATTGTAATAGAGGGATAAGTCTAAAGAGTCTGGTCCCATCATCACTGTTTCTAGCTCCTTTATCTTGTCATTAAAATCGTCGGTCACACAAGAGGCGGACGTATCATCATATCCATAGTTGTTGTTTGATATCAAAACGGTAGAGTCAGGTGATGATGATGGCTCGAGCATGCAATACCGTTTACGGGAGTTGTTAACGGGTACGTACGTAAGCTTACCAACAGAGTTGGCCTCAAAAGGAGGCAAAGAGTAAGCCTCAACCTCTTGTCTTGGATGCTTGTACATTTCTTGATTTACACCTTAAAATAATCTGCACAACTACAAGTAGAAAAAATCAAAAATCATCATTCTAGAGAATCTCTAGCTCATGTCAAGAGTTGAATTATATAACATATAGTTTTGTAACACATAACCACAAGATCCTCTATTTGCAAGAAACCCAATAATTAAGGGGAAAATAATTTAGTTAATTGGAGAATATCTAATAAATAGTTATGCAGCTGAGCCACTCATATAGAAAAAAAACAAAGATCAAGAACTCAACAAAGCAGTAAACTCATACCTGTTTGGTCGGTGTGAGTGAGTTACTTGAGCGGATCATATTAAAGTTACAAAAGAAAGAGTAATTCAAGATCAAACAGAATTGCTCGTGTAAAGAAAAAAAAGAAAAAAGATAATCTTAGTAGTACCCACCTGACTCTTCTGAGATGAAAAACCCTTAAAGTTAGTGAAATCTTATTGAAGTAGCATGTGAACCAGAGCCAAGGAGCAAGAAGAGAGATAAAATTTTGTCGGAGACAAGGCACATGTGACTTTAAAACAGAAGTCACTCTTCCTACCAGAGAGAGAGAAAAGAATCTCAATCAGGCGTGTTATTAACGATTATACCACTCAAACATGTCTCGACCACCACCACAACCATTATATTTAAGATACATGTCCCCAGTCCAATATTTGTCTTAATCCGTTTTTCAACTTTCAGTATTCGAATCTATATTGTAAAGAAAATGTTTAAAAATATATAATTAGTTTAATTAAAGAGGAAAAACAAAACAAGAGGAGAATACTATAGTCCATAGAAAATCAAAGTCATGTAGCATCTTGACCGCGTAGAGAAAGACTACAATGTTAGAATTCAAATGATGTGATTCCATGCCACACAGGACTGTTGAAAACACAGCTATGTTGAGTGTGACTCGCTTTCAAGCGTATGTAGTAAGTTAAAAGTTTTCTAATCAGTTTTTGTTTAAATTGGATACCATTTTGATGCATGGTCGGAAACATGTTGGATTGGATCATAAGGAAAAATACAAAGAAAAACATACTAGTAGTGTAAAGTGGTCAAACATGAACAGCCATCATTGTATATTTAACTTAAAGCATTTATCTACTACAATTTTTATCAACTAAAATTTTAAAGCTGAAAATAAGTGATAGATAGTCTTTTATAGAGTCAGCAAATGATGTAATGTCATTTTCATAAATAAATTGTAGGTTATAAATAAAACTAACATATTAGCCCAAATACACGTTCAAGACTTTGCAACTAAAAGCTAAAATTACTCCAATCTTTTGTTGTTGTTTTTGTTTTGAATTGCACGTCAGATAGGGATAGATTCACTTTTGCAAAGCAACAAGATGGAATTGAATTAGAATCCTAAGCAGTAAGAAATTTGTAGAAGATTAGCTTTCTTTTTCACCTTTAACTCTCTTTTTGTTAAGTGAAGTGAATGTTATGTCATTTTGACCCCATAAGAAACCCCTTTGCTGTTCTTTTATTCTTTTCTTTTTAACACCTCTCCCGTTATAGAATGTGTTTAAAACTTGTGTACATAAAATATGTCCTTTTGTTCTTTTTGTAACTTCATACAAAGAATGATCCATGGACAATATCTGTGATGTGAATCTGTATATAAGACTTGTGAACTAAAAGAAAATATAATGTTAACTCTTCATGCATTCCTTGTTCTTTTCATGGCTTAATTCTATCAACCGTATCTTCAACTACTTTCACACCATCTCCAACTAATTATTTTTTTTGGTGATTAAATGCAGAAATTTCTGCAGTCTTCCTTATCCTCACTTAATAGTTCTCAAATTAGAAATACCTAAAATATATGCACCAATTTTATCATCTCTGTTGCCGTAAAAGTGTAACTATTCAATATATAACCTACCAGATAAAAGATAAAAAGTGTGATTCAATGAGTAAGCCATTTTATCTTATGTAGATTAAACTGAAAGGTGTTCCCCTAGTTCAAAACCCAAGAGAGTATGCAAACTTTTGGTTTCTCTGTCTCAGAGCAAATAAAAAGATGGTTCTCAGCACCGAGCATGTGTGAACAAGCTACCACACACATGTGAACAATAACAAATAAACACTTATTTTCAAAGTCAAGATAAGAACAAAATAAATTCGAGCATGGCTAGATAGCTGAGTTGAAATTAATATGTATTGAATGAGCCAATGTAACTTGTAAGAGTTGTAGAAAAGACAGTCTGGCGTTTCTAGAATCAAAATCTCTTTGCGTTTCTTAAATCACCTAATCAACATAGAAACCACACGATAGAAAAACAAGTTGAAATCAACATAAGTAAGAACACACAAACTAGAAAATATCAGTAGATAAGAGTTATTAAGGCTACAAACATTCGGTTTACAATGAGTTTTAGGATATGAAAACTATATATAAAATGTAAGAACCATATCAAGGATTGGATCTAAAAGGATGACGCTCGTTTGACTGAGAATCAACCTTAGGCGAGAGATTGTATCCTTGAAGCAGATCACGTATCTTTGAGTACATCAACACCTGTGAGGGGTCTCCTCCACCACCACCACTGCTCTGTGACGCAACCCTCGAGCTTTCCTGCAACTTAATCTTCTCAAATAGATACTGCTTCTCTGCCTCAGCCTCACTCATCCTCTGTTTCAGATAGTTACTTGCGTACTCCTCCTCAGACTTATCCGTTTTCGCTAGTATTATCCTCTGCAGCCTCTCACCTTCCCTCTTAGCTTCGTTGGCTTTAAGCTGGAACATGTCTGCCTCTGCTTGCTTCAGCCTCACGATTCTCTCTAGCTCGTCTATCTGAAGCTTCTTCTTCTGCCTCTCTGCTTTGAGTTCTGCTACTTCTTTGGCTTTGTCTTCTAGCTCCCTGTCGCAAGTCTCGAGAGCCATCCGTGCCTTCTTGAACATCCTCATCTTCTCCTCGGACACTACTTCCATTTTCCTCAGAGTCTCTTGTACTACTTCAGCTATTCTGCTGCATGCATCTTGTGGTGCTATTAGACCTCCATTTTCAAAGCTCTTAGAAGAGTCTAACTCAATCTCTTCAATGACATTGTAATAACAAAAAAGTGTTACACTAAACACATAGAGTAATGTTTATTCATTAATAAAATGCATTAGACTTACCTTGGAAGAACATTAATATTAACTTAGCAGCTGTTGTCTCTGCCAAGCCACCTTTAATCTTATCCATAAGCTCCTCACACTTCCAGAACAGTTTCCTACCTCTTTGATCTTCACTTCCTCGGAAGATCCTACTAACAAAGTCAAGCTCCTTCATCAAAGACTCTCTATCCCAGTTTGGTGCACAGTGCTGAAACACATCTTTAACAAAACCAAGAAGCTCAGAAGAATGATTACACGCCCTGCACTTGAACAACATCTCTCCTGAGCCTGTGGTGATCTGTCCATCTCTTATAGCACAATCCGTATGAGTCCAGTGAGAACACAAGTCGCATCCAATCCAACGGCAAGTATTAACAGAAAAATCAAACTTATTGCAGATCACACACATGCAAAGGTTACAAAACCCTTTCCTATTGGCGCATACATCACAGCGGCAATCATCAGCTGGTAACTGGTTTTGGCAAGGTATGTTTCTACACCTCTTGTATAAGAAAATCTCTACGAGAGATGACTGAGACAGAGTTATGTTCGGGTGCAAAAACGCCTGGATTCCTGTGTTTATCGCTACAAGAATCTCAAGCTGCGCACGGTGAGCTCTAACAAGCGTTGTAGAGTTCAAATCAGATCTACTCTGCACAAGCTTCTGCAAGAACATAAACTCCTCAACGCTGTGTGCAGCGTTTCCCTCTAGTACAGCTTTAAGACCACTCTTCAACTCCTCGAGAAACTCATCAGGCAATCTATGCATTCTCTCTGCAACTATCTCAACTCTTTCCCTAGCTATGTCCCTTACAGATACTTTATCTGCACTAGAAACATGGTGCATCACTTGTTGTTGCTCATGAGAGGTTTCAGGCTCTGTCTTTTGTTTCACAGTCTTCTTTGCCGTGATAGGATCAGCGAGTGGCCATGTTTCTTGAGAGCTCGCGCTCTCGGCTGGAGACTCACGACGCACAGTGTCGGAGTTGTTGGAACGTGGCTCCTGACCATCGTGTGAGACTAGTGAAAGAGTTGTTTCTAGAGTTCGGAGCTGCTGACGTGGAGGTAACATTTGGTGAGGATGATTAGAGCCAGATGATGTGCCCATCCAACAAGTTTAAAAGGTCTGCATCAATAGAAAAACCCTAGAATCATCTCAAAAGTAGTAATGTAATCAAAACACATTTCATTTTGCAACTGTAGTAATCATAAGCTCTGAATTTGACTTTCAATTCATAAAAACCCCCAAATTTTTAGTCAAAATCCCTAGAAAATTTTTCTAAAAGACAAAAGGCACGTGCTTGTGTCGTTAAGACAGTCAGATCAAGAGTAATGGCTTCTCTAAACCGTCATTACAGGACATGTTTAATATCAATTAGACGCGACCTAATTGTCTCAAATGATTAACCAAATCCGAAACGCAAAAAAAAACGGAGAATCTTACAGATTCGTAAAAAAAAATAGATAAATAACAATTAAATCTAGGTTAGAACACAACTCAATCTTCACTAAAATCAACTGATCTAGCATCGATTTTCAGACAATCATCGATGAAACAAGAAACTAAGAGATGATGAGAAAACAGATCTATGCATAAATTAAAAGGAAGAGGACTAACCGTAACGAGAGAGACGGCGGAGATGTAGCGGAGGAACGATGAGGGGGAGAGAGTGAGAGGAAAGACAACTTGTTAAGGAGAAGAATAAATTTACTTTTTTTTAAAATATATTTTTAAGGAGAAAAGAAAAGATAGGGAAGAATGTTGGGGCTTTGACTGAAATGGTTTTAAAGTTCTAACTTCTCCACGCACACCTGTCGGTTTCTTTACTATGTAAAGATCACCGAACCAGCCGGTGATCTCTGTGTCTTTGTTGACTTTTTGACTTCGTTTTTTTTCCTAAATTTTCTTACACTCCATTGACTCCAACAATGTGGTTAAGTTGACTTTTATCGGCCAGAAGGTAATATAATACTTTCTCTATCTTGCAAATCTCTCAAATAGATTTTTATAAGTTTTTATCACAGAAATAAATTCAATAATTAAAATAATCAAAATAATATTTTTATCTTGAATTTTTTTTAAAAAAAATTAAAAACGGACCCTTCAAAACTCTACTCCTCGACTTTAAACAAAAAAATCTATAATCAATTAATTCAAATGATATAAGTGTATATTTACTTATTTTTATAAAATATTTAAATCTATTATGGGTCATTTTTATTTTTTAAGTCTATATTTGTGTCAAAAACTTTTTTAGTTATATCTTAGAAAAGTTATATTCTCTATTTCAGAAATATCTATCTTTTATTACAATTTTTAAACAAATATATATTAAATTTCAATTTTTTGTGGTTAAGTGTTTTAAAATATTTACCCGACAGAAATTTATAATTTGTCATTATTACAGAATAAATTATTTATAAAGAATATAAAGACCTTTCAATTTTTTAATAATATAACTAACAAATTTTAACTCCTCCAGCCCAAGAAAAGTCGTAAGTAAAATCACTTTATTTTATTTCCATACTTTGGTTTTCATGTATGTCTTTTGTTAGTAAAATTAAGCTTAAGTTAGCACAAAGGTTAATTAAGAAAATATTACATATGGGCCAGTGTATATTGGAATGTCAAAATCAAGGCAGGCTGTTTTTGTTGTTGAATGGGCCTTCAATACATTTTGATAGGGATTAGCAAAGAAAGTTGTATGTCTGTGTTTTGTGGTCCATCACCTAACTTGACCGCTTTTAAAGAATCTATACTACAACAACAAAAGTACATATACAAAGATATCCAATTCATCCCATTTTTAGCTCATCTTATTCACAATATACTTTTAATTTGAGACAATAATTTATTGCTTTTAGATGTCAAGTGTTGGACTCTAGTATGCGTATGTTTGTAGATATCATCTCTTCAACTCTACATTGTTGGCCAACCAGTATACTCAATAAAATTAGTGTTTCATGTTTTTGTAGTACTCAATCTTATCATTTATACAAATTATTCTGCCATATTCATATAACACAGTGGATGGTTTTTAAAAGTAGTAAATGTTCGGAAAGCGTCATATCGAGTCCGGAAAAAGTAGTTAATGTTCAACGAAACAATATTTCTCTACATAATTTTTCATATTAAATTAAAAAGTGAAAACAACGAAGTGGGAGTTTCACTTTTTTTTTTGCTTAGAAAAAGAAAAAAAAAAACAGAAGAGACAAAGCACTAAAACAGCTACACGTTGGCTATTGGCAGTATCTAGGGAGAAAATCAACAAGAGTAAAAAGAAGATCCCACGTTTATTAATAAACATTTCACAGCAATAATATGTGATAAAGAATACAATAATAGGTTCCTAGTTATAGGCTGTACCAGCAAAAGGCAAAATCATAGGACGTTGAGGGGCTTGCGAAGGAAAATGAGCGAAGAAGGTGGCGCGTCTCCAAGCCACGCACCAACGTAAAGGCGCTCGTAGTAGTGGACACAGTAAAGAGAGAGCGAGAGCTGAAGCTGGTCTCGACTCCATAGAATCTTGGGGACTCGTGCGAGGACCGGACGGATGCATAGGAAGTAGAGACGTCGGTATCCACCAAGAGCCGACACAACGGAGCGTATGGAAAGTGAAGGTCGTGGTGACACTTGTCGGAAACAGAGCTCTTCCCATATTGAGTCGTTGCGAGCCACGGCCGACCAAAGACGGCAAACGCAAGCGGCTGAACATAGAGAAGGGCCATCTAGTCGCCTGAGGATTTCCACCAGCACGTCATGGTGGTCGTTGATGGAGAACTTGGGAACTAGGTTCACTCGTTGTCTCTTGTTGTTACTTTTCTTGACCATCAAAATTTGTTTCTCCGACATGGTACTAGAAAGAGGGAGAGAATTCTGTATACTGGCGCATATAAATGTATATGTAAAATATTGTGTGTGAGTGAGAAGAGAGGGAGTGATGTTTATATTCAATCTGTAAGAGAATAAAGATTAATGTTGGTTGGGTGGTTCTTGTTGCTTTTAAAACCTTAGTCTATATCATTACTTGTTGTCTTTTTGTTTTAAAAGCTACTGGTACAACTTATAACTATTTATTTCTTTGCTTTTCTAATTCAACGTATCTTCTATCCTGATATAACCAATGGAGTTACCTACCTAACACCAATAGAAAACTACATATGTATATCCAATTGTTGATTGAACATAATTGGTTACTGTTATAATTTATATGTATAGTAATCCACATATATGGTAATAAGAGCGAATCAAGTATTGGATTGATTACAAAAATAATAGTTTAAAATGGTTTTGAGGTGTTTTTTCTTACATGGAGACGAGGTTATTCTCGTAAATAATGACTCTAATATATTGGTTATTGTATTAGTGACCAGTGATTGCCTTTTGAAAGTGAGCTAGCAGGAGACCTGAAACTTCAAACCTAATCAAAGATGAAATGGTAGTTAATCTTGTAGCATATTAATACGAATATAATATTACTAGTTGTTAAAAAAAAAAACGAATATAATGTTACTAAATATGACCAAATATGGAAACTTAACCTACTTGTGATTTAATAGGTATTGGTGGGTACTGGCCTATTGGGTAATGGGTACGTAGAAAGTTAAAAGGATTTGGAACGACAAGTATGTTCTCTGTTTCCTTCACGCTTAAAATGTATTGTCCGTGTGGACTCCTTTAGTTTCTGAACAGTGCTAGTCGAACCTCTCATTGACTATTTTTAACCAAAATATATTAACCTACAAAACTTCAGAAAATCTTTTTCCAAAGAGAATACTGTTTTAATTTTCTTGAATAACAAAAGAACTACAACCACAAAATATATATGTGTTTACATTGGTAAGGAAATTGTCATAAATTTATACGCATTTTAAGTGGTCGGTTTGATGTATTATATACAAATGTTATATACAATATTTTAATTGTTTGAAAAAAATTATATTTTTATTTTATTGTTAAAATAGTTATTCATTTTAATAAAGTTTTAAAAGCATAAAAAACTAATGAATTACCTAAAACCATCTTACTGATCATTTTTTAGACAATAGTAAAAACAAGGATCTAGTTACCTATCTTATCAATCAAATTGTTGTTCAACTTCGTTTAAAAATTTTAAAATCTCGTTCAAAAATAAAATAAAAACTAAAAACTAACTACAACAAAAAATAACCAATTAAAAACCATAAACTAAAATCCAAAATAAAATAAATCATGAATAATAGTATTCCATCACGCCAAAGTTTTTTTCTTTTGAATTTTACCTAATAACGGTACTGGTTGGATAGATGAAATTATCAAAATTTATGTTAAATCAGGTGGAGGATATATATGCATGTGAAGGTCTATAATCAACGGATAGTTATAGGTAAGATATATCTAATGTATGCATGTGGACATCTATATAAAAGAGAGAGAAGATTTGTGACTTGTGAAGGGAATCGAAGTGAAGGAAGGGTCCAAGGGAAAGAATCCACGAGAGAGAACTGCAAATCCAATGCTCTTCCAATTTTGTTTCTCTTTTAAAACATGTTCTTTCTCCTCTTTTATACCCATATATATTTTTTTATGAATAGAAATTGCATTAGAAAAAAACCCACATATCTAAAATTATGTATATACACCAAGACACGCATGTACACAACTTCTTTAATTTTAATTAAAATGTTACACACCTACATACATATATGCCGTATAGAGCATATCCAACGGAAATAAACTCACTTTTAACATGTTTTAATACTTAAACATAATTTAGTAAAATAACTAGAATATGAATTAAACCAATCTAGAAAAACATGTGAGTCGAGATGTTTTTGTAAGTTTCTTTTAAGTCTCTCAACTAAAGGCCTCGATTGGTACAGCAGATGATAAAGCAGTAGCAGTATGCTGCAGAAGCAGTATGCTACGGAAGTTGTATGCTTTCATTAAAGTTTTTAATAAAGTGATTGGCAGAGCATTAGCAGTAATAGTTAGTAAAATAATATATTACTTTAAATATAATATATATATATAATAAATTAATAATATATAATTTTCTTAAAAATAATGAATTTCATTATATAATTATATTTAAAAATTTAATTTTTTTAAAAAAATATTAAATTATTTTTGGATATAACATATTACTCATATATAAATTATAGTTATAATTTAATTAATTATTATTAAATTATAATTATTATTTAAAAGATAACTAAATAAATTATATTTATATATAAATTAATTATAATTTATATATAAATTATTATTATTTATTTATTGGTAGAGCACTAAATTACTCATATATAAAATTATTATAAAAGTTAATATATAATTTATTTATTAGTGTCTAAATAATATGTTTATATCGATAATATATAATTTATATTATGTTATGTTTTTATTAAAAATAATGAATGATATATGTAATTATATAAATTATATTATACTTTAAATGTGAAATATTGTTATTTAAAAAAAATAATTATAATTTTTATTTTTATTTTGTAAAATATAAATTTATATTTAATTATATAAATATTTTTTATATTTTTAAAGAAAAATAAATAAATTATATATAAATATTGTTAAGTTTTATATTTTCTATATGCAAATGCTCTCTCAAAAGCTCTATATGAGAGCATTGAGCAAAGAGCATTTGGAGAGCATTTGCATTTGGTAAATGCTTTTCTAAATGCTTCTTTGCCAAATGTTAATTGGATAATAGAGAGCATAATGCTTATGCTAATGCTCTACCAATCAACCCTTAAGAATTGTATCTCACTCTTTTTGTCCTTTTTGCTTTTTAGTCCTAAGAAACTTTTTTTTTTAACGCCAATTCTAATAAGAAACTATTTAAGAGTTTCCATTGAAGCAGCTTTTTTGTATATATTTATCATAGTTTTCTTTCTCGAGGTAAAAGAGAAATTGTTGTTCGTTCTTTGTTGTTGTATAGCACTTATTAGTCCTTCCAATCTTCATGTACTCTTCACGTTCTCGTCTTTCTTGTTTCAGGACCGCTATACAGTTATCTAAACAGGATATATTCATGCATGTATACGTACACATAGTGAGTGTACTAACATATATGTGAGTAATTTATTTTTTGGTCATCATATTAAAGGTGCATGCAATTGAAAATTTAAATTCTTTCATTTTAGAAAATAATTGTGATTTCATTATGTCACTCGGAATGGTTTTCCACTTGGTACTGGTCTAAATGTTTCTGTACTTAGAGCATCTCTAGCCAATCTTAGCATTTTACTAGTTTTACTATATAACAAAATAATATTTTAAAGGAATACATTACAAGAAAGTCCCACTACTATTATATAGAGTTTCTTTATTCTAAAGAAAATATATATCAAAATATAATGGAGATACTCTTTCTATCTTCTCTCTGTCTAAAATCTTCATTTCCACAAGTTTCTAAAACTTTATTGATGAACTACCATATTTTTTTCTCGTGAGGAAAAGAATATACATTTGTTTCAAAGAGGAAAAACAAAATATATACCCAACAAATTTACAGCGCATAAGTTTGTATCATTTTAACGAACAATAGCCGTACACTAGCATCCAAATACAAAGACAAAAGAAAAGACTGTCACCCAAACAGAAAAAAATAGAATGACATGAAAAATGAAATCATTATTTGAGAGCCAAAAAATCAACATGCATCTATCAAGCAATATTCAGTCAATAAGTAACTATTTTAGTTGTCTTTTTGCATTGGAATTTCGCCAAAAATAGCAAAACCCGAAATTCGTTTTAATATTCAGCTGTCCTAGCCTCCACATATGTTACATTGTGTGCATTGTATACGTAAGTATACCTATAGTCAGATGTAATCAGTGTATAAAATTATTGAAATGCATGTGAACAAGGAAATGGAATGTGATAGATAGAGTTTTGTTCGTCCTGTGGTCGTAATCATGTATTTAAGGGGGTTGTATATTAAGCATATCTTTTTTCTAAGCATATTTGGTCTGTCGATTATCTACTATATTGATTTTCTTAATCACAAACTCGTGTATCCTAATTATGGAAACGTTAAATCCAGTAAATATCAAGAACATAATAATGAAAGATCAAAATATCATATAATTGAAACCTCTGATTCTTTCATTTAGTTTCTTTCAAATAATTACTTACGCACGACTACTGTTTTTGTACTTTGTAAACACTATGACATATGCAGCATCCAATTGGTCAACTTTATATAATTTATCGTATCGACTAGGATTTATTTATTTAACTCCCCCGGAAAAGTGATAAACATTTTTATTTTATTGTTTATGAAAATAACACTAACGTATTTTCCTTGTTTCGCAAGGTGGATTCGTTTCAAGAAAAAAAAAAAGAAGTTACTGAGGTCGAGAGACTAGCGCAGAACACCATGCAAACATTAGGTCAACCCTAACGCCAAAACAAGCAAAGAAAAAACGCCAAGAAAAGACGAATGACAATAAAATACGCAGCTCATGTACATATTAGTAAGTGAATACATTTAAATTAAATAATTAAGAAGGATTTGGTAATGATTAAAGGAGTAAATAAGGTTAAGGAGGATAAAGAGATAAAAGCTCAAGTACAATGATAAAGAGAACAAAGAAGAAAAGGGGTACACACAAACATCCCCTCCCATAAACAAACAAACAATCACACTCACTCCCGTCTGTCCAAATTCAGTTTCATCTTCACATATACTTTACTTACACATACGTATATATATATATATAATCATTCTTATATATATTATATATTTTATTTTATTTTTTGCCCTCTGCTTGTTAGGACTGGGCATCATTACCCGATACTCGTCTTGTACCTGTTACTTGACCCGTACTCGCCTTAATAATCCATGTATTCGG